TAACAGAGAAAAATTTTTTTTTTTATGTCTCACAAAGATATATATATATATATATATATATATATATATATATATATATATATATATATATATATATCTTTTTGAGCTTCAAACAAAACTGACAACAAAACATTTAAACATTATTTAACCGAAGGTTTTTATTTCCCACATTCAACACAAAACATATTATATTTACATCGTGTTATTATACTTTACAAGGGGAAAAAATGAAAGTAGATATGTTAATATACACATACATGTTACAAGGACATTTCAGGCTAGCAGCAGTTTCACATGGCAGATTGTGTCCATTTTTAAGGTTAAACGCTCATGTATGCTTTGCAAAGACATTTCCTCCTCGTGTGTGTTCAGCAGAACGTCATTATCTTCTGTCTGTTTATGCACCATTTGATACTTCAAAAAGACTGTAGATGAGCTACAGAGAACCGGAGTCCGTAAATAAAATTTACTAAATATACTTCAAAAGTTACTGTAGGTGAACTACAGAGGCCGGAGTCAGAACACGCACACACACACGCACACACACACGCACACACACATCACATTTAAAAAACACACACAAAGGTTTTGACAGACTCAAACACACAGAAGTAACCCGCGATGTATTTCTAGGCTGGGTGGTTTTACAGCTGCAGTTCTGCACAGTGAGAGTAGTTTTTAAATTTCTCCTTCCACATGCTAAAAGCGTCCAAGTCCTCTCCACATTCCCATTCCAGCAGCTTGTGGTTGAGTGTGGGATGTTTGTCTGTGGAGTAAAAATACCATCCAGCTCCACATTCTCCAGAGAAATTGCACGTTTGCATCAATGCATTTTGCAGAATCCTTTAACTCCATTGTTCGTTTTTCCTCCTTACGCGCAAGTTTCAGTCATTAGAGGTAATAAAACTGCAGTATAGAAAAGTGCCTGCAGTTTTTCCCAGCTTTGATGGAAAAGAGAAAAATAATCTGCTCACTAAAATGCCCACTTGATACACAATCATAAACAATGAAAAATAGCAGAAACAAGACATACACATCTATATATCTTTCAAAACTTTTCAACTACTCCATGGGGAATATTTTGAAAATGCACATCTAAAGAAAAAAATCATTAAAACTATTTTAGTGCGAATTTTCTTATTTTTACAGAACCATTGTATTTAGATGTTTATCCTTAAATTTGTTCATAAAATATTATGTACAATTTGAAGTTGGAGAAATAAACGGTAGCCAGAATTTGGAAAGTTGTCTACAAATCCAATATGGCTGCCTCTGATCATATCTACAGTAATTATTTCTATTTTTTCACCTCCATTTGTTTTTCACATTAAAATGGTCAAATACATTATATTTTACAACTTCTGTTAGTAAATATGTTATTATATTTAAATGGATATATGTATATTTTCTCTGTATTGCTAATGTTGCTAATACCAGTTAGCTTAACTGAGTTGTATGGTTGAATTAAAGTTTGAATTTGCAAGTTTATATTTAAAAAAAAAAAAAAAAAATCAACTGAAACTGCAGAATTGGAAAATCAGATCTCAAAATCCAATATGGCTGCCTTCCTAATAACGGCTGGTCATATCTAAAGTAATTATTTAATTTTATCTCCATTTGTTTTTCACATTAAATTGGTCACTAAAATTGTTTTGCACTACTTTTGTTGAGATGTTATAATGTTTAAAAATCTAATATAGGATTGTCAAAGTATTGCTAATTGGCTAACAGTTAGCTAAGTGTTTAAGTTGGTTAAAGAAATAGTTTGAGAACAAAATGGAATAAAATGAGAAAGGAATCTACATAATTCTGATAAGCGCAGAATTCAGCTAATTTAAGGTCACAAATAAGAACTTGACAGACAAATGGTTGGAAAATGTGCAACTAATCCCTTTTCCCATGATAAATATATTTACATTTGAGCTAAAAAAAAGAGGTGAGACAGACAAAATGATCCTTGACTCCCCTGTTGCCCTTCTTCCCACAATGTCTTACTCAGACGTACTGTCCACAGCGTCTTTGATGAGATTTCACAGAATATCTTGAACCAGCCGAGATTTTTCTGAGAAAGCAGTGTTGAGTAAAGGTACTCTATTTTTTTAAGGTTTGACAGTGAGGAGTGGCCCTTCAGGTCTGTCAAGTACCAAGATTCCTCTGTAAAAGCTTGTTTGTCTACAGACACACCTCATTCTCAGACAATAGCGGAAACGTTTTGCATACCATTGCCATGAGCAAAGCGACGCAGATATCATAGTTCAGTCGTTGGAGACTGAGAGGTAAATCTGCAAAGGCTTGATTAAGAGTCTTTCAGCAGTCCTAGTCTCCTCAGTGCCTCCCTGCGTGATTCATTCATGGCTCCTCGTCCACAAAACTGTACGGTGATACCTTGAGGACGGAACATGCTGCTGGGCCTTCGCCTGTATTCTGGAGAAGAGGCCCTTGCTGGCGGTTTCTGGGGAAGAATGCCATGGTAGGACTGCCGAGGAGGTCTAGGGGCTGGGGTCGGCGGTGGAGGTTTGACACTTCTAGGTCGGCCTTCTGAAGTCCGATATAGCCCAGAAACAGGGTCAAAGGTTCGGCTCTTTCCTCCAAACCTGTTTGCCTCGACGGCCGGTGGCTCTGGCTTGGCAGGAATGGTTTCCCCTGCGTCGATATGAGAGCTCAGGATGTCGGGTAGATTGGTCCTTTCTACAGGTGGATTGGCAGAAGTCATGACTTTTGACTTTCCTCCATAAGGATTGGGCTCTATTGGGTTAGAAGGTGCAAGTGGAAGGTTTTGGGGTTCAGGGGTAGTTGGAGAGGTTGGAGTGTCGTTCTTCTGGGATAAAGAGGGATGGACCACAATGGATTTCCCTCCAAAGGTGTTGAACGCTGGTGAGGTGATGTCCGCTGGAGGAGAGGACATTGTTGGAGACGATGGGTCCAGCTGGGAGCTTCTTTCATCGTTGCTCCTGAAAGAATGTGAGGGCCAGGTCTCTGTATTCTTGTGGTCATTAAAGCAGACTGGAGGGGGTACTGGCATATTTGGTTGTGGAAGATCAGTGCTGATTTTTGCAGTTGGGGTAAGACTGAGGTCTGGCGATGAGACTCTGGGGTCTGGACCTCTGTGAGGATCCTGCGAGTTGTTGTCAGGTATCATTTGGAGTGATGTAGCTCTGCCCCTTGTCAAGCCCAGCTTTGACAGGGCCTCCATCCTGGATTTATCTGGCTCTGGGTCTTTAAAGGAAATACTACGGGATGGACTATTTCGAGTGTTGTCTTCTATATCTTGCAGCAGAGGGTGGGAAGTACCTGCCAGGTGTGCCAACATCTGCTCCTGTCGCTCATGGATGTTTACGTTAGCCCCTGGTATTTGGGGCTCCTTTCCACCATGAACCACATGGATATTTGGAGGATAGTGGGCTGGCTTTGGTGAGGGAGGAGGACCATGTTTCGCAGAAATATTTGATCTGTCTCTGGGTGCTTTTTCCGACTCCATGCTAAGGCGACGGAGCAAAGACGAAGGATGCAAGTTTGATGTTCCATCTCCCTGGTTCTCTGCAAGCTGCTGGGCAATCAAAACTGGAGTGGGGACACTGCCTGGAGGGTGGTAGGAGGAATGGCTGTCTGTCGTCCCAAAGCTTGGACTTCGTAAAGGAGGGTTGTACTCTGAGGGGAACATGTCGTGCCTTGGTCTTGCCTCAAAGTTGCTTTCAGGAGTGTTGGGCATGTGGTAAAAATCTGGATGTAAACAGATAAAACACTCAGTTCAGTTCACCAAAATGTACAAAATGATTAAAACACACTTCTAGACTCAATACAAGCAGCAGTGGGGCATTGTACCTTGATGGCTGGGGCTATAGACTGGCTCTGCAGTGTGGACCAAGTCTGGCTCTGAGTGGACCAGGTCGATTATGTTCGGAGCCAGGTTCGGATGTCCGTCAACCGAGTCGTAAGGCCGACTGTTACGTTCAAGGTGCCTCCTCTGGCCAAGTCTTTGCTGCTGCTCATCTAGACCATCGTCCAAAGACTCAATGGTTTCCTCAAAGAACTGAAGGCACTCCTGTTCCTCTCGACTCAGAAACTTCAGAGTGTCTCCCTGTAGAAGGCAAAACATTGAAGAACATTGAGAAAGTTGTTTTTATACTAAACAAAAACCATTTTAAACCAAGTTATCTGTCACAGTCTCTCTTCTGCTTGCCATGAAGAACTGCTGAATGTCTTTTTCAACCGTTTCTATACCTCTTTTTCTACCTGGCAGTATCTCTTCTATTTCGAAGTCAGAGCTCAACTTTGGTCTCTTCCTACTTAAGCTTCATGTTGTTATTTCAAACGTAGCAGCACAACATCACAAGATATTCAGCAGCAAAACTCTGACACATTTTTTTGTCCCGACATGGATCAACTCCACCTAATTAATCATAATCCATAAAATTATGATAAGTAGTATGACAATGTGTAATGCAACTAAAAATATGTTTTTATCAAAGGAGGGCTGATATGACTCAAAGTCAAATTTGGGAATGACTTCACCCAACTGATGATCTAAAACGAAAAACCAGGAGGACAATCCAAGAAAATAATACATTTCTCTAAACTTTAAGCACTAAAGACATATAATAAAATTAGTTTGATACTAGTAATAGTATCAAACTATACTAGTATTTCTAAAGAATCTAAAGAATCTATTTCTTTAGACTGGCCATTTCATTATCAAGTCTAAAGAAACACAGATGAGAAACATCTGGCATTTATCGGTCTGGAAAGGATTACAAACGTCTGTCTAAAGCTTGGGACTCCACAGAACCAATATCCATAAATGGAGAAAACATTTATGGATATTCAGAATGTACAATTCCCAATAGGGGTTGGCAAACCAAAATTACTAGAATTTTGAACCTCTGGTAAGGCACAAACCCAGCAGTGGATGGGGGACATTTGATACGTCAGAACTTATTCAACAAATGTGTTTCTGTCTCCCATTTAGCAGATTAACTCTTTATTCTTTGAAATTTTGCCATTTCAATCAAACTTATCTAATCCAGTACTTCAAAAAAATAGAAAAAAACTTTAATAGAAACATGGCTAATGTTTCAAAGCACACCAGCAAGTCAAACGCTAATGTTTTAAAAAATGTTTTACAGTGGTCTCGTAAAAGTGTGAACATAAATCTGACTGTAAAATGACCTTTAAATGGCTTTTTATGCTGCAAAACCTCTTAACATGGCTAAGCTAAAACAGTTCTGCATAGAGGAGTGGTAGGTTGATATGTTTACTCAGGTTCTACTTTTCTAGTGAAATCTATTTGCACTGAAACAAAAAGCAAAAACAGAATCAGTAAGGATCAAATACCGTACATTCCTGCAACTTTCAGAAAAACTAACACCCAAGAAAGAAGTGAATGCACCATTTAAGTAAAAATCAATAGATCTAGTTTAAACAAACCCAACAACACACAAGACTGGAGAGAATCTGGATCATTTAAGATGGAAAAGTATGTGAAGGTTATTTTGCTGACACCAGGGTTATGGAAACCACCCCACCAAGATGACTGCATGCTTTGTTTTGCCTTAAAGATATGGACACAAAGACACCTGCAGCAACACCCAGCTGAAACCAGTGCGAGATAAACACCAGCCTGCTGGTTTCAGCTGTTATGAATGTTGGCCATTGTAGTGAAGCAGCTCAGGATGCAGAAAACCGCAGCTCAACTGGTTGGACTGTTTTGCCTGCTGATAATGAATATCATTCCCAAAGGCAAACAATGGGAATTAGTCGTTAAGCCGGTGTGATTTCCCAGAGTTCATGTTCGCTGATTGCATTGTGTAAACATAGAGCAGCGTCAAGGTGAAAAAGAGTTTGATCTGTCAGCCATCATCAGATAAACTGAGTTTAAACAGCTCAGCCGATCTGTCAGATCTCTATCTGGGTACTCAGAGCTGGTTGGCACCAGTTTGACGACAATTAAATCAGCTTATGAAAAGTAATTTACCAAAACATACTCATGTCTATTGTAATTAGTTAAAAAATCTAAAGGTTACTCCTAAATGTTGCCTTTAGTTACAGATTAAAACAATGAGTCAGTCAGCCAGGCTTTGTCTGAAAGACTGTGAATCAGGGAACAGAATTCATTTTTAAAGATTAATTTGCAGGAGGGAAAAATCTATTAAAGTGGTAAACATAAGACTAAGTTGACAAAATGTCAAAAATAAGTTTGTAAAGCCTTATGGGTATAATGACAGCAGTATAAGGGGATGTTAGCTGAGCAGTTAGCAGTGGTCACTTTTAGCAATAACTAGCTGGCACTAAAATTCTGAATTACAAACAAAAATGCTTATAAAACAAATCACTGAAACAATGTAGTGTGGAGGATTATGTATTTTTACTTCTTTGTTTTACTTTTTAAAGTTTATGTAGAAGAATAGACGCCCTGTGTAGGCTCACCCTTTCCCTTCAAAAATTAAGCTAAGCTAAAATAAAGATAAATAAAAATAAAAAGCACGGATTTCAAATCAATAGAGTCACTATATGTCCCAAAATTTTTTTATTTTTTTACTACGGACAATCATTAGTGTGTAACCATATTTTAAGCTCATATTGTTGTTGTTTTCTTGGCCCCTAAGCTAACAAATATTCTTGGCTAGCTGTTAGCAAACCTAAAGGCGGGGCTTTTCTTCTTCTACCGTTTTTCTTCTTCTTTTTCTTCTTCTTCTTCTTCTTCTCCTTCTGTTTTTCTTCTACTACTGTTTTTTCTCTTCTGTTTTTATTAAATCAGTTCTAACCTCCATACAAGCAACAAATGCAGTGAAATACTCACTCCAGGACTAGAGTTTCGAGTCGCGCCGCCGTTGACGCCGTAGTGGAGCTGAGAGTTGCCCTGGAGACGGACGTCCATTTTGGAGAGGGGTTAAAGGTCAGCTGGCATTTGGTCTTCCTGTGGTTTTGTTTTGTTCGGAAGGATCATCTAATCGTCTCTGAGCGATTCTGTAGCAACAGTAAAGGGAATAAAATGTGTTTGAATTATTAAAGTAGGCGTTTGAAATGGTTTTCAGAGGAAATCTCAAGTATTAGCAGATTGTAGCTATTCGCTCGCCATGAAATGGTCTTTTTCATTTAAAGAGTTACAAATAAGAACAAGAAAATTATACATGTATGATTGACTAATATATAAATATAGTACACTTTATTCAGAAAGTTTCTAGAGAAATGTACATTTTTCAGCTTGGAATGTCAAAAATCTGCAAGAAAAAAATAAAAATTTTGAGATTCTGAGTTTCAGAAATTGAAAATTTTTGATTTTGTAGTTCAGAAATTTTCTAGAAAAAAACAATAAAATTTAGATTAATCTTAAAATTTGTGAGTTCTTTTCTTGCACAATTTTTACTTTTAATGTTCAGAAATTTCTACAAATTTTCTAGAAACTTTCTGAGATTAATCGTATAATTTCTGAGTTTTCATTCACGCAAATCTTTAACTTTAGGAAATTTGAGCTCAATTTCAAAATTTTAGTTTTTTGGTGGAAATTTACTCCTTTTTTTATCCAATATGAATATAGTAGTTTTCATATTTATACCCCTTAAATAACAGGATCGGGATCCATCTTTTTTAACATTTAAAGCAGTACTTACAAATTAAATCTTATGATGTGAAGGTAATATCAATGTTTTATGGTAAAATAAAAGATTAAAGTGTTAATTGGACCTATGGGAGAAGTTTGTGTTGGTAAAAGGTTGGAACCTGCAGGTTTAATCTTTAACAGTCCTCTGGGATTTATACTCTTATCTCTGTTGCATAAATGTGCAAAGTGCAGATTTCCTGTCTGAAATGTTCGCAGCGTTTGGTGACTTTCTGTCTGATGTTTCCGGTTCAGCATCCCACCTGATGGACCAGTTAACCCACTACAGGCGGCTGCAGAACCGGCTCCAAATGAGGCCGAAACCAGCGAGACATTCCGATCTGACGCTGTGAGAAACTTCCACAGAGAAGTGAGTGACTGCAGCTCAAATATCAAGATTAAAAACAGAAACAAGTTTGGGCTCATTAAGTGGATATTTATCCAGAGAAGAAAACCAAACCTTCAGGTTATGCTTTTAAAAAGTACTGAAAGAAACAGATGAGCTGTTTTTACTCAACTTACAGCTGGTTTACATTTTTTACGCAGATTTTTTCTCTAAAATCTGTCAAAGTTTGGCCTCATTTAAACTGTATTTTTCATTAAAGGCTCAATTTATCATTAAAAACCATTAAAATAATTTTTAATAGAATGAAAAACATTTTACTTTTCTTTATTTGGGCTTCTTTATTTTAGGTTTTAAAGGTTTAGTACAGAAGAGCTAAATTAAAACTAAGTAACTTTTATTTAGAGAATGAAAACATATTATTCTGTTTTGAAAAGGTTCCTGTAAAATATTTAGCAGAAAGTTACAATCTAATTAAATTAATGAGGTATTTATCCTGTGAAGACGTCACAGTAAGATAAAAACAGCAGAAACAGGAGTGAAAATTACAAATAAGCAAATAAGTAACTCTGGTTTTCAGGAATAATCTTTGAAATTAAATTTGAAATAATAACAGTTTTATTTCTTCCAGTACAAAGTCAGTAAAAACTCACCGCACAGATCAGTCATAATAAAAGCAGCAGCAGGAATGTGAAGCCGTCTCTGTGTGAGCCTCCAGCTGAACACACCATCTTAAACCACCAAGAAACTCCGCCCACAGCGTGTGTGTGTGTGTGTGTGTGTGTGTGTGTGTGTGTGTGTGTGTGTGTATGTGTGTGTGTGTGTGTGTGTGTGTGTGGTTTCATTCAGGTGTAGTTGGGAGGTGACGGTGACACAGTGGAAAGTTATTTATCTGGGTTGGGCTCAGAGCCACTTGGACATTCAAGTTTTGCTGCAAATGAAACCAAATTAAATTCTTTTTAGTTTCATGTCATTAAACAAAAATTCAAACGCAGAACAAGATTGTGGGAACAAATCTTGAATTATTCTTTCCATGTCATACACTTTAGATTGAAATTATTCCTTCTAGCAGATTTAGATTTAAAAATATGTCATTCAACAGAGAAAACAGTCAGAAATCTTTGAAATTAATATATAAAGAAAAAAAAATGTTTTTACTATTTTGTTACAAATTACATGTTGACAATTATTTATACTCTTTGAAGTTGCAAACAAAACAATCTTTATCAACATTACATTTGCTAGGGACCTTTCTTACAAGCTTCCTTTTGTGTTTTCATGATTATTTGTGTTGCTGAGCTACAAGCTTGGGCCTAATCATCCTAATCTTTAATGGCACCCAAACATTCAGGTCAAGACTCCAAACTTTATCAGGAAATTGTGACCAAAATGATTTACTGCCTGCGGCAGTTTAAATGCTTTCATTTTATATTTATTCTTTTTTGAAAACTCTGTTTCTAAACACATTGCTTTTGGTTTATGAGTCAAATTTGCCACTCACAACATGGCAGATACAACGGCACACCACCATACAAAGAAAAAGGAGAATAAAATTTTCAGCAAAAATCTGAGAAATTTTGAGATTAATCTCATAAATTTTCTAGAAAATGTTTTGGTCATTTCTGTGTACCAAAATTCAAAAATGTTGACTTTTGAAACAGAAATTACCAATTTTTTTCTAGAAAATTTCTGAGCTTAATCTAAAAATTAATTTTTTTTCTAGCCTATTTTTTTTTTTTACTCTTCAGACTTAGAAATTTCCTTGATTTTCTGGATATTTTCTGTGATTAATCTCAAATGTGATTTTTTTTTTCAAGCACATTTTGGATCCGTCACTTTCAGAAATAAGCTTTTTTTTTCTTTTTTAGAAATTCTCTGATATTAATCTCAAATTTTCAGTTTTTTTTTTTAGTTTTTTTTTTTTAGCAAATTCAAAATCAGAAGTTTTTTCTAAAACATGTATATCTGAATTTAATTTCAAAAATTTTGTTTTTGTTTTTTGTACTAATTCTCAACTTTTCAAACTGAGAAATTTTCTTGTTTTTTTCTGGAAAATTTCTGAGATTAATGATCTGAATTTTTTGGGTGAAAATTTACTCCTCTTGTTAATACACTGTTGTATAATATGCATATGCACTGAGACAAACAAATTGGTAACTATTATATTAAATAAGGTTTTCGCATCGTTTAAGCTTCTGGTGAAGATTTTAGCAAAGAAATCACCTTTAATTTGTCTTGAATTTACTTGATCAAACCCATAAATTAAATTAATCTAATTTTATTAAGCTTATTTTATTTTTATTTTTTTTATGTTTTAATTGTTTTTCTCATTAAATACATTCGATTTTATGCCAAATCCTTCTGGACGTTTTATGTCCTCTGTGTTTTGCCGAGCATTTCTGTGTTTTTCTTATGAATGAAACCTTTGTTGTTCCCAGCATTAGTGTAACTTTGGCGCCCTCTGCTGGCTGAGTCTGATAAAACAAACTAATTCTAATTAAAACACAAACGAAAACAAAATAATAACTTAATAATTTACTTTATATCGCCTAAAACATGGCAAGGATTTTTAAAAAACGGTTTGCCTGTTGAAAATATTTCACGTATAAATAATAATAATAATAATAATAATAATAATAATAATAATAATAATAATAATACAATTTTTAGAATGAAATGAATAATTAAGTATAATATATTTAAATGTTACAGAATCTGATCAAGGCCCGCAACTAAAATAAAAAAGGGGATTCTGATTTTAATGCCGGGGTCCTGAGATTAAATGAAGAATTCAGAGAAAATTTTTAGATTAAACACAGAATTGTGGGATTAAAGTCACATCAGATGATTGTGGTTTTAACATTTATTTCTTTTCTTACGCCTGAACTTAAAATTTATATTTTACTTTTATTTGATGTATTTAATAGTTGCAAAATTTTGCAAAAGAGAATGACTGTAAATGAATGACTGCGTTTCCTAAAACCCAACACAGGAGTGCAGTCCAGTCTCACTGCATCCTGACAGTTAATCATCTGTTTTCCGAGCCGTCCTCAAACGCATCTCCCGTCAGCCTCTGCGTCAACAGCCGCTCCGGTGTGTTTGTTTGTTTGTTTGTAGGCTTGTTCCGGTGGCTTACCGGGAGGCAGACCCTCCGCCCGGCTGCTGTCCTCACGGTGAGTGCTCGGCTGTCTTTAACGGTTACCGGAGCCGTTTTATTTCTCCGGTTGAACACAACAATGTAGCCCGTTAGCATCTCCCGATGGATGATGATGATGATGCCATATACACTCATTATCGGACGGCGTCGTTTTGCGTTTCTGTTTGCGCAAAAATATAAAGTAGACAAAGCGCTTTTTTGTTGTTGGTTTAACATGTCTGACATGGACGGAGTCTGCTTCCATGCATGGTTGGTGTCAGGTAGCACCGGCTAGCTCTAATGCCAACCGATAGTAGCCTGTTAGCTTGCAGAAGATAGCTTATGATTCATACCGTCTCATTAAAGGGCTGTTTCACCCTTTTTTACGCTATTAGTCGGCTTTAACTTTAAATTTAATATGAACTTGGTTAAACCTGATGTGGATTATTTAAAGCTGTTTAAATATTCCTTAAAGTACAATACATGATGTGTGAAACCTTAATTATAGTCATGGAAACACTGAAAGGTCGATTAGCTGCGCCTTAAATCGACTCCTTATAGGTTAAAGTAGATATCAATTTAACTGTTCAAGCCTGCACTTAATTATTTATAATAGTCTAATTTTGACCAGTGGATGTGTTTGGATTTTGACGGTGGTTCAGATCGGTTATTAAAAGGTGAAATGTTATTTTATTGAATCAGAAGCTGACTTCAGAGCTGCACCCTGAACAGGTGAGTCTCTGCTGTTAAACAACACCTGTCTGGGGCCTCAAAGGGAAATTTAATGCTGTCGTAACTCATGTAAGTATTTCTAAAGAGTCATTGTAGATGGTGAGGCTGTAGATAGGAAGGAACTCCAGCAGCAGTCAATCTTGCAGCAAATCTAAAGAAGCCTCTGACTGAAGACTTTTTATGATTGTTGTATGACATCCAGTAGAGACAATATTTCACAGTAACATTTCCTAGATTACATCATCAGTTGCTTTTGCTGCTTCTGGACTTGTCATTATAATATTTTGCTGGACAGTAAAATGACCCAAAAATTATTGCCATAAACAAAAATATTGTTATTTTGAGATAGTTGTCTAGTAATGGCATAATCAATCAAGAAAACATTCTCAAAGATCAATAAACTTTAAATTCTAATGAATGGAAGACACTTAAAATATCCAAAATAAATTAACAAAACAACAGAAACAACAAATGAAATGTATACTGAAATCTCTGTAAACAAAATTGTCCTTCAAATAAAGGGCTGGATGAGGCTGAAAACTTTTGTCATCCAGTTTTTGGTAGAAAGAGAAAAACAATAAATCATGCAAATGGAAATTATTGAGCTTGTTTTAATTTATTTTGTGATAAATTAATTATTAAGACATGCTTAGCCGCTTCTCTTTAAGTCTGTCTGGTTGGAAAGATGTAGAAGTAGGGGCTAAGATCTTTGTTATGATGGTTTGAACTTGCTGTTCCTTTTTGGGGTCAAAGTTCAGGCATTATTTGAACTTTCAATTAGCCCTGTCACAATGACAACTTTTGCTGGATGATAAATTGTCCCAGAAGTTATTGCGATAAACGATAATGTTGTTTTGAAACGGTTTAAGTGATGTGGTGATGATAATGAAAGAAAACATTCTGAAAGATTTAAAACGTAATAAATGGAAGACATTTTGAATATCTAGAATAAATAAACAAAACAAGAGAAACGATAAAATGAATAATGAAGTCTGTGTAAATAAACTTGGTGGGGATAGCTGAGACCAAAAACGCCAAACTGAAAACTTTAATCATCCAGTTTCTGGTGGAAAGAGAAAAACTATAAATTATGCAAAGGAAAAGTATTGAATTCGTATTAATTTATCGTGCTATTAATTAATATATTGCTTATTGAGACAAGCTTCTATTTGAATCTTTGTCTGGTTGTATGATTAGAAAGATGTTGGAGTAGGGGATAAGCTGTCATGATGATTTGAACTGCCTTATTCTTAACGCCCTTGAATTTTGGGGGTCAAAGTTCAGGTGTTTGAACTGTAAAGAGGCTACAGCAGCAGGGCAGGGTGAACGTTGTGACGTTTGAAGGACTCGACGTTCCCTCTGCTGCCTCCGGCTGTTTGTGGTCATAATGTTTTGCCTGGTGTGAGTAAGTGAAACTGCTGGTGTTTCCATGTGTGACGGGTAAATAGACACGCGTCGGGATGAGCCAGTAACTGGATCTGAGATCGGCAGTGTCGGGTTACCACGGCTTTCCAGGACCGGTCGCCATGGAGACGGGCCGAAAGGGGAGCAGCGATTGGTCGGTTTCAGACAGGTGGCGTTTCACCTGAGCTGTCAGTCAGCGTGTCACCGTCATGACAGCTGGTGTGTTTACGCAGGTTTCCAGCATCCTGGACCTGATTTAAACGACTTAATGCTGATTTTATTTACTTTTATTTCATTATTTCAAATATAAAATTGGTGGATTTAAAGGTTTTTTTTAATTATTATTTCTGATTTCAGGTTCTGTCAGATATTAAAATTATATTTTAAAGAGTCTAAAATGCAGCAAAAACAGACATACAGTAAAATATGTGGTGCATTAAATCCATATAGAATAATTGAATAAATCTATAAAATAATTGTCAGAAGATATTTAAAAAAACACAAAAGAGAAACTAATTATCACACTGTTCTCTTTGGATCTTATTTTAACATTTTAATAATTAAAAAAATTGCCAAACCTTTGAAAGTAAAAATTTTCTTTTTTGGAAGTAATAAAATAAAAGTGTATTTATTTTATTATTGTTCAGAAGGTGAGATATTTTAATATGTTTAACTCAACAATAAGTAAAATAATTTCTAGCAAATAATAATAATAATAATCTTTTTATTTTATTTTTTGTAGTGGAATTAAGTGGAGTATAATTGAAAAGTGAGTATTTTTCAATTCTACTCAATGTTTATTTACTTTTTTATTAGACAGGTTTTGATCAAAGAATTGTATTTATTTAACAAAATTATTCTTTCCTAATAAATTATTTTAAAATATTTTCATTTTTGCGGTGGGATTATGTGGAGTATTATAAAATACATTTAGGATCAAAATAATTCAGAATATGTGAAGAATTCAATAAACTTTGAAGTTCAGATTATGATTTTTCTTAAAAACATTTTTTTTTATAAAATTTTTTTATATTAAATTTTGCTCAGCTGCTGTCGGAGCGTTTCGTTGCTCTGACTAGGGAACCTGCTGGCCAATCAGATCGCTCCGACACTTCCTGGTAAATCCGTGACGCTCCCAGCTGAAGGTTAGCAGGCGTGGCGTCAGCCGCGGCTCCGTCTCACGGCGGGACGCTCCCACCTGTCCGTCAGGTGAGACCGGTGTGGAGCAGAAAATAGAGCCGCCGTCGATCCGGTTTCCACTTCCTGTCTGAGTTCCTGCTGGAGTTTGAACCGCAGAGAGAAACCAGTTTAATTATAAACACCATAAACATTCCTGAACTGGACTGTTTTATTTTCCCATTGACTTCCCAGAAACAGTTTTACTGCCTCATCAATCCCTGAAGTACAAAGGATCTGCTGTTGGACTCTGTGAATAATTAAACTAATTTATTTAGTGATGAAGTAAAACTCAGAACCAGCAGTTCAGACATGAAATAAATCCTTATTGTTTAGATTCATTTAACTGAATTTATCCCATTTAGATCTGGTGGAGGCCGAGTGCTGGGTCGATTTATGTTCATCTAGTTTCTCTGGAAGCAACCAGATTTACTTTCCAATGTTCTTCTGTTAGTTAGAACGGCTCTGAGGCGAGGAGAGGAAAAATCATTTTAACTGCATTAAAGGAAGAGAGGGAAAAGAGAAAGGAAAGAACAAAATAGAGAAAAAAGAAGGAAAAATAGAAAAACAGGCAAAAACAAAATGGGTTAAAAAGAAGAGAAACGCCAAAAAAAGGGCAGGAGAGAGAAAAGTTAAAGTGGATGGTTTCTGCACACATGCAGCCTCTGATATGTCAGTAAATGTTTCTGCGCCGTTTCGATGTGTGTTGAGTCAGGAAAATGGAAGTGGATCAGAATATTAGTTGGTCAGAAACGCCATTAATCACATCCCAGGGCAGCACAGCCGCCTCCACCTTCCCCCACCTGTTTCTGCTCAACAAAACCAGGAGGGTTTAGGAATCGGCGTTTGTAGCTGTTCGATCCGGGATAGATTCATTTATGGGTTTTTATTCCCAGCCTGCTGAAACTGGGACAGTAACTGGTTTCTCTGTGTCTCAGGTGAAGGACTGTTGGTGCTGACCTGGAACCAGAACCTGCTGGACTCTCCATCCAGAGCTGAACATGGTACCTTCACTGTCCGTTGGTCCGTCTGTCCACCTGAGTGTCCGTCCTTCACTGGTTTATTCCTGCTGTCTTGTCTAAAGCCAAACCAGTTTAAAAACGTCTGCAGTAAATTTATCTGAAACTTTTTCATAACACTTTATCTGACGAGGTGCATCAGACTGACATGAACATGAAGGAGTCTTTCTGAATGTCTGACTGTCATCCAGTGACATTCAGGACATAATGACACTTTTAATGCAAAGTTGCTCTAAAAGTTGCATTAAAGTGTCATTATTTACAAAATAATGCAACGTTGGGACTTTTAATGCAACCTTTAGAGCAACTTTGCATTAAAAGTGTCATTATTTACCGAATGTCACTGGATGACATTCATAAAGATTCCTTCATGTTCATGTCTGTCTGATGCACCCCGTCAAATAGTGTTACCACTTTTTCTTTATTAATATTTAGAAAACAAAATTAATCATGAATTCCTTCTCAACTTTTCCAAACCTAACGGATCATTTTTATCCATCAGCTTTCCACAGATTAGTTTCAGTTTTTTAAATTTCTTCTGGTTTTGCTCCCAAGCAGCCAGACTCTGGGCCGGCGGTTCATCTGCTAGTTTTTCATCTTTCTTTATGAACTTCAGTGACATAAAGGATCAACTGCTGACTCAGCGTTTTGTCTGCAGCTGAACAGGAAGTTGAGATGTGAAGCAGGAAGTTGAGATGTGAAGCAGGAAGGTGAAATGTGAAGCAGGAAGTGTGTGTGTGTGTGTGTGTCTGCAGGCTGGATGATGTCTGACAGCAGTTGCCATGGCATGCAGCGGCGCTCAGAGCAACGCCGAGGCGCTGGAGGGCTTCCACGAGGTCAACCTGGCCTCGCCCACCACACCTGACCGACAGGTAGGGGGCGCTGGCTCAGGCTTTCAACCAAAGTGGCACAAAACTTATTATATAAAAATACAAAACTTACCTGCTTGGTAATAAACTAATCATTTTATAAAATCCTGAAAGATCTAAACCATAAATGCTTAGTTCATTGAAAAGCAGATAAAGAATATACAATATTAATTTCTCGTTTTTTAAAATTTGTTTTATTATTATTATATGTTCAAATTAAAGCTACAGTATGTCAGTTTATATAAAGTATTTTTCTACATATTTGTTGAAACTATCTGCACGGTCTGAGAGAAAACTGTAGCCTGTAACATTTTTAGCAGCGAGTACATGAGTTGATTGACAGCGCTGAGCCCCGCCTACTGGCTCTGATTGGTTGTTTTTGGTGCATTTCTTCAGACAGTGATTGCAGCTCGGGAAAAGATCGATCTTTTCACAGATTATCTCTCTCCTAGCCAACTGTCACCATATGCTGAATGTTTTAACAAATGTGTTTAAATATTTTTTTTATAAAAGTTACGAACTTTAAGAACTTATTTGACTTTTTTTTCTCATGTGTGAGGTCATCATCTGGTTTCTCTCCTCCAATCTTCTTCTGCAGAACCAAGCAGAGCAGCGCCCCGCCCGCCTCCCTGTACCGCGCCCATTCTCTGGGGCCGCCCCCTGCTGGCCTCCCCACGTCACTGCGAGCCGATCAGCTCCCCACGCAGCCGGTTTACTCCACGCCGCGGCACAGCCACAATGGAAGGTAGCGCAGCTGAAACCGAGCGCAGCTTTTCTCTGCAGCTCAGTCCTGATGTGAGATCATTTCCTGTTGCTGTTTTCACGCCGCGCAGCGTGCCGGGCCTGGAGGCGGAGCCGGCCGAGGGCGGCTT